ACGATCCGGACGATAGCGAATGGCTTGAGGGTGCCTCTGTGCGTGCAGACACCCAGAGCGTTGTCGCCGGAGACTACTCTGAAGATGACGATGAGGCAGAGACGGGCGAAGACGACGACGAGATGCTCAGCGGAGATGAGGCGGTCCTCGCTGCCGCAAAGAACGTGGTGAAAGTGTGGGATTAAGCGTCCGCGTCATCGCTGGCCCATTCTCTTCCCCATCTCTTTTTGGGACTAGTCTATTTTGGTGGTCTTCAAGCGATTCAATCAGGAGGCGGCGGCATACTTGACTTACATATATGAGATCTATGGCAACTAGGATACATCGATAATGTGGATTGTGGGGCCCTTCACCAGTCAGGTATAAACATTGGGGATGGCGTGTACGAGCCCTCTGTGTCCTCCTTTTGCCTCTCCCATTCTAACAACCGCGCCGTGAGGTTTGCCCACTGTGCCTCAGTGTGCACGCCTCGCAGCCAATGACGTATAGCCTTATAGCCTCCACCCTCAACGCGCGCCCACGCACGACGCAACATACCGGCAGTGTGCTCTGCACAGAGGCGGCGCCAACCCTCTGTGAACGGCGTTCCTGTAGGCGGGACGCCTCCGCGACCGCCAAGCCCGTGCTGTTGCAGGAACCCAACAAGCCCGTCCTGATAGTCTGCCCCACCACCCGGGCCGACGATCCGATGCCCCGGGGTGTCGACGTGCCCGGCGCGGGCCACCGCAAGCGCCTCCTGCGCGCGGAGGTCCGCGAGGAACGTACTGCGCTGCGCGAGGAGTGCGGGATTTGCGAGCGTGTGAGCGACGAAGAGCGCCTGTGCGGAGTCAGACATCGCGTTGGATACGATGATCGGCACGCCGACGAAGTAGAGCGCGCCAAGCGGGTAGGTAGGCGCGAGCGAGAGCACGTGTCGGAAGAGCGGGCGCATGTACCGCCCACTGTTCGTCAGCTCTGGCGCGTCGGCGGGATCGTGCACGCGTGCACCGCGCGGGATGCGTGTGAGCCCGCCGCCCGCCTCGAGGAAGTCGACGCGCCGGTCGTAACCCGTCGCGAGGAGGACGGTGTCAATGTGTGTGAGCGTGGTGTTGTCCTTCAAAACGATGGTGTCGCGCGTAAAGCGTGCGATCTCCGGCACGCGAGTCACGCCGGGAATATCGGGGAAGTCGTCGGGGTAGGCGGGGTTGGTACGTACTGAGGCATATGTCTGTGGGGCCGCGGTGTCAGGACAAGCCGCGGATGGCCCGCGTGCGCACGACTACGCACCGAGTTCGCGGACCCCACAATTTGCAGCGCGAGGTCGCGCCCGCTGGGGCCGCCTCCCACGACGATGACGTTACGCCCACGGTACGCCTCAGGATCACGGTAGTAGACCGAGTGCAGCACCAGGCGACCAGGCACAGAAGTCTCCCACTCCGTGCGACCCTCAATATAGGGTTCGGCGGGGTAACGATTGTGCCCGTTGGCGACGATGAGGTGATCAAACTTTGCGTGCACGAGATCGCCTTCCGCACCGCGTGCAGTCAGCGCCCAATGTCCGGAGGCGTTCGTGCCGGCCCATCGTGTCTCGAGAACCTCGTGGCGCAGACGGACATGCGAGGACAGGTTCCAATGCGAGACGATGGACTCGAGGTAGTGCAGCACGAATGTGTGGTTCGGATATAACGGCGTTAGGGGAGGGAACGGGAAGTGAGGAAGCATCACTGCGGCATTGGGTCAATTTCGAATACGAAGTGTAGGGTCTACCAGAAGCACACTTACCGATGGGGTGGGGTGTGTTTGTCCGGAGACGCGGGTATAGCGGCGTCTTAGGCACGTTCGGCGGATGCGGCTCGGTTCCGTCGGGAAGCCTGCAATGATGAGCGTGTGCTGCTCCTGGAAACAGGGAGAGCAAACTTACCATACACCGCCAACACCACCGCGCTCCTCGAACAGCACGATCTCCCAGCTTTTTGTGACCTCTTGTGGGAGATCTGCCAGGAGAGTCTTCAGCGTGTAGATGCCGCTCATGCCACCACCAACGATGGCTATTCGTTTGCTAAATGCAGCCGGAGCAGGCGGGGTCTGTAGTTGGACCCCATTCGCATTCGAGTCGAGAGGCAATTGGCTGGGGTTAAGCGCAAGCAGAGAGAGGGCAGAGCGAAGCAAGCCATGCATGGTGGGGAAGAACGAAATGCGAGGCAGTTGAAGCAAGTCATGGCAGAGTGGCTGCAGGATACATATGTTCTCGAGAGTACGTACACCACCAGCGGCTAATGCTCGCCGTCCTCGAATCGGTGATACGGATTTGGTATGAAGGCCGATGTGTCAAAACTAAGTAACGCGGACACGCTTGTTCTGAGAAAGGCGCCAAATCAATGTCCTCATGTCGTGATAATTTTTACTGGCCTAAACTTTCATTGAGTGATCTTCCGTTCTCTATGACAGAGTGAGAAGAATGTGAGGTCGTACCACAAGTCGGATGTCAAGACGACGCTATGAGTCTGCAGTCGTCATGGCGGCCCTGCGACCGAATCGAATCGTCGATAACGCTATCCAGATTCCAGACGAGTTGGATCATGCTGCAGTGCTGGATCTGGGATGGGCACGCTGGGAAGAATCTAGATTTGGCGCCATTCCGTATCTTGTAATACCCCAAAGAAGTAGGTCAGATCTGCAATTTAGAATTCTAACGCGAAGGGGAGATAAAGATACCGAGGGGTGACGTGCCGTCAAGGGTCGGGACCTTCATTACGACCCTGTGTAAGTAGGCCCCTGTAGGCCCTTCCCAAAAGTGCTTGCCTCCATTGCTCCGTTTCCGGTGATGTCTTAATACTCCGCTACCCGAACTAAACGATGGACAATGAGGACGGCTGGCACTTCACAAAATGAAGTACATCACCTTCGAGTCCAACACATGATCATGCGGAAGTCTCCCTTAGACACCAACTAGCCTGTAGAACCAGCATGCTTCGTGAGCTGCAATTAGCGACACCGCGCTGCATTAACTGTATAGATATCACGTGGTCATAACGAGTCCGTGAGTCGTCGCGAGCGTTGAATAAAGTTCCGGGACGTTCACATTCGGGGGTGCGCCGAGGATCACCGCTCACAGCTTAGTCAGCAGCGGGCGGGTAACGGGCAGGCCGAGGTGACTTCGAGACGACGGGTGACGGGAGCGCGACGTCATGGGTGCGCGACGGAGGGAAAGCGAGACCCGGATTTGTGGTCGCGTGAACGTACGCATCTTCACACGCGTGCAACACCACGCGCCAGCCATTGTGTGATGCAGACCATGCCGTCCCGCCAGAAGTTTGCCAAGATCGACCAGCTTACTGAAGATGGTCATAAATCTCCGACATCAAGGACACCGTGAACACGAGCACCAACGCAGTTCAGTAAGCCGTATATTGGCAAGTAACAGTGATACATAAACTTACAGCAGGATTGTCGCACGGGGCGCCCACCTAGACAGGCGCTTGAATGTGAGCCTTGTGCATGTTTTGAGTGACTGAGTTGCAATACTCACCATGGTACCCTGATAACTCCGCAACCATGCCATGTGGATCGCGCCCATGTATCGCGGAGTATGCACATAAGCCGAACTTGCAAACGCGAATCGGCCAACACGGGTGAAAGCAAGCCCCAAAGGACATCGATGCCCCTAGATGTCTCATCAGTGATCCAATTGACGCCGCGCCCACACGTCAATTTTTTTCGAGGTGGGGTCCTTTACGCAAAGCCTTCGGGACAGCGTAGCGCTTGAGAAGAGAACGACCAACAGCGTGGGAGAGCGCGAGAGGAACGGTACCGCGGTTGAGAGCGTTTTCACCCAGCGGGCCAGGCTTGCCCAGCCGCGGCATGTTCGTGGGACCGATAGCAAGGAAGCGCGAGAATGCAGGTCGGATCCCCATAGAGTGTCTCCGCCATGGCTCAGACTGTGAATACAACGTGTGACGGTGAGTATGCCAAGGAGGCGAGACACTGGTATTGGAAATCAGGGAGCGAAGAGGTCCTGATAGGTAATACGCTGCAGCGCGGAGGGCGAGCGCCATCCAAGCCTGGCTGAGACCTCACAACTGTCCCATGGCCGAGCTGACGGGCAGGGCATGGGTTGGTAGCAACGCGTCAAATGTGGCATAGCCAAATAGTTCGTATCTTGCTTTTGAAGATGACAGAAGGAGATCTGCGCATTTTAGGGCGTTCTCCAGCGTTCGAAGGTAGGTTTCTCTTCGCATGACGATTGCCCCATTCCGAAGAACGCCGCAGAAGTCTGATGGCAACCACGAAGGCTCGCCCCTGTTATACCGGTTCAAGCGCATACTCCGAGACTCAGGCTTGTGAACCCGTGAGCTTATGTCCGCTAGCGACGACAGAAATGTTGCATAAACAGACCCGTGTCAAGCTGGTGCTAGGCGTCAAACAGCCCATCCCTACATTTTCGGCGGCTTGTGAGGTGGGGGCCTGGGGCAACAGCGCTAGCGGAAGTGACGAGCTCAGCGGAAGATAAGGGTTGTATCCGAGTGTACAATTTGCGCTGTGGTCTAACCCTAGCCTTGTAGGTGGGGATGAGTGGGCACCTGTGAGGTGTAGTTGGAGGAGCGTGTCGAACTTAACCAAGACGGTTGCAACGATGACGATTAGCGAAAATCGAACAACTCGCGAATGGGCGCCTTCCGGGAGCGCGGGCCGGTAACGGAGGCACGTGCGAGAGGCGCTGACGCGGGCACATGGTGTACACTGGCCGATGCCAACCTCTTTGTTGGAAAGAGCGTGGAAATAGTCAGAAAAAGAGGATAACTATATCCACACTCTTGTATTTCAAATATGTGTGAAAATAATTCAACTCTACTCAGAGTTTTCTCGGTGTTCGGCTCAAAAGTTAAACTATTCACGCAAATTACCCTGAAATTCAGGAAGAAGTTAAACTTTATTTAGGTTACTTTACGCCGTAAGAGCCTGGATATAGTTATCCTCTTTTCTCACCATTTCCACGCTCTTTCCGACAAGAGTTTGGCATCGGCCAGTGGTAGTTGGTTTATCACGTTCGCTTCGCATTCATGTGCTTGCGAAAGGTGTCCGGTTCAATTCCGGATGTGTCCATTTTTCAGCTCCTTTCCCGTCGCACTACACGTCGAGTTGCCTTTTTGTCATGACGTGCCGTCGATCGGACCTGATGAGACGGGTTTTCTTTCGAGTCACCACACCCTGGATCAGCGCTTCAGTTTCAGCACCATCGGGCCTTCGGGGATGCGCATCGCGGTGTTTAGGCGCCGACCTGCGCCGACCTGGGAACGGGTGTGAGAGCAATGCCGGCCGGGTCAAAGTCAAGGCGACAAGCGGCCTGGCGATTGTTGATGATGGGCCTATGATACACGGCACGACGTGCGCTCCTATAGAGACGCCTTTGTTGATACATAACAGGCGACCGTGACGCCAAACTACTCTCTCTGTGCTCCAACATGCGGCCAAGATGCTACGGTGGTGGGGGGCTGACCCGACCTAGCGCCTTCTCTGCCACATTTCCCTCCCTCTCTTGCGCTTCCTTGATCTCCACAAAATCGTCATGCATCAGAATAACCTTCATGACCTCCTCCCATTCCTCTGGGTCAGCGCCATCCAATAGCTTCTTATCCCAGTACGTTCGAACGAGCAGCATGAGATTCTCTTTTGGTCGCCCGTGATATTCCTCAAACTTGATGGTGAGACCACGCTCGTGCATCCACCGGAACATGTACTCAATATCGGCATAGTCGGAAGCCGCCTTGGTCTGGAATCTGACCCATGTCGAGGTGTAGATTGAACACCAACGCTTAAGTTTTGTGAGAGGAAGAATTGACGGGTGTAGGATGGGAATCTCTGCGCGTGGGTCAAATCCACATTTGTGCAAGGCGGGCACCGCAAGCGTAAGAGAGCTCACGGCGGGAAGCCATCTCTAAAATTGGATGCGCAACGCTGGGGAGGCCCAGTGTGCCAGCTTGTAGTGTCTCAATGAGGACATTGTTCCTACTCTGTCGGACGCGCTCTGTCCCATCCGGTGGATTCGCAGCTTCCGCGGGGGGTCCGGGGGGAATGACCTGCAGAAGGTGCCGGTATGGGATTCGACGCTAGATCTTGTTAGCATGGTGATGCGTACCGGCATGAAATAGAACTTGATAACGTTCGTGAAGTAATGCGGGTCCATCTCTTCCAGCCTCTCGCGCACTTTTTCAACATCCATCTCAGACGTCGGCTCGATCAAAATGTCGATATCGTAAAAGTGCGGCCATCATGATTAGTACAGGACTCAGTGCTCAGCCCGGAAGATACTCATTTCGGTGGGTCGTGGACTGCCTAGGAGAGACCAAGCGAAGCCGCCGATGTACGCATGCCGGATGCCCATGGCACGGAGGTGATTTGAGAGATTGTGCGCTGCGCTCTCCTGATGATCGCGTGAGGTTGTAATAGAAATGGTCTGTGGTTTCCTTCTGTTTCCCTGGTTGAGATCCATGGTTGGACGAGGGGTCGAGGCTCGAGCTGAGGAATTCGGCGTGCCCAAAAGTGGAAGTGTGCCCGATCGCGGCTCGGATCCAATTACATAAGCCTCCTAGTCATTCTCCGAACGCTCCCACAAAGGAGCCAGTGGCTGTGTTTCAATGCAACAACTGACTTGACCTCTGACTACGACGTCGCCACCACCATGACCAACGCTCTCGTCCAAAATCATGGATTTCTCGACGAAAAGTCCTACCCGCTCGAGATTATCGATGCTCCTGCTTTCTCGCCTCCGCCTTCGCCGCAGATAACACCCGCTGGCCAGGATCCTTCTCCGGCCCCCAGCGAGCTTTACTCGATGACACCTCAATCTGAAATGTACTCAGGCAACAAGACCTACCACTCGCCCACGATATCTGCTACTCATATTCTCTACCCGTCTCCACCCCCTTCTCCACCTCCAACCCCCGACTTACCTCCAGAGGCTCTCGTTGATCTCGCACTCGTCCGCCTCCGCGATGCTGGTATCGAGCTTATAGAGTGGCGCGCGACTGTATACCGGCGGATGAATGTCCCCGTCATCGTCAAGGTGAGTTTTTAAACCCAGCTTTTTGCATAGCCAACATTATTCCCAGGACTTCTCCTTTGCCCTCCCTGATGATTCTCTGGATACCGCCTCATCCGTCCTTGAAAGTATGGGCCTGCCGCGCACTATTCCCTCCACCCTCATAACCAAAACCCTCGGCGAGCTCGCTACACAGGCCATCTGGCACTCCTTGTCACCCGAACCTCGTTCCATCGTGCTGTATCCCCTCTCCTTCCTATGCATCCCGCCCGGCGACCTGCTACCCAGTACGTGGCACACACACGAAGACTGGACCGGAGTGCGGGTAGCGGAAGGACAAGACGAAATGAAGCCGATACCGATCCGCGTCCCGCATCCTCGCGCGGTCTATGCCGCCGTCGTGAGGATGATCGTGGACTATCCTCGCGCGCGGACCGCACTGCAGGCAGACCTAGGGATGTTGATCATGTATCATCTGTTCGGGTTCTCGCTGCAAGACAGCGGTCAGCTTGATAGTGAGGAGGATGAAGAGCAAGAGGCCGGGGAGAGGCGAGCTGTGGTCTCACTCATACGGGACTGGAAACGGGTTTCCAAGGCGGACGATCAGTGGATATGGGATGCATTGATCGACATCGCGACTGGCAAGCAGAGGATCGAAACCATCGGGCGACGGCTTGCAGGTGCCAAGCGCAGTGCCATAATACAGTCATGTTGAACGTGTTACAACGTCCTTCGCCAGTATATTGGTAAGTTATTTACACGTAGCGCAGCACATCTTCCTCACTGTTGGTTAGAGGGGAGCGCCACAGGCCCAGCGGCGCCTTTGCCCCCATTGTATACGGTCATCCTCGAACACTCTGTCTCGCCTTGTGGTAGACTCGAGTAGACTCGATCATGACGTAGAATGCTGCCGCGTCGATTCGGTAGGGCCATTAAATTGGTGTGACCCTACAGGAGGGCTACCGATTTACCTTCATGTCATTGCTGGTTCGGGCGTCAGCACCGCTACGGGCTTAGTGCTTTAGGACCAATTGCTAGGCTACATAGAGACATCGAAGCGATGACTCGTTCACGCTTCACTATCCGCCGGTCACGCCAGTGCCATTTCGATCCCATGTCTCACCCCACGGGAAGATAACAGCAGAGGCTGATCGTTGCATATTTAGGCACCTTCGATACACAACAATAGTAGGCAGGGGCGTCATTAATGAAATGTTGATGCGCACACGTGTGGGCCTATGGAATGATGCAGTAATCCGAGGTTCATACTAAGTACGTCAGACAGTTCACCGCCATGAGCGCTTGAGCTCCGTTGCTGCCCTGTCCCTGGCGTTGTGCAACAGTCGAGTGTGTCAGCTCTCGGAAGCCGTGCGGTGAGCATGTGCAACGGTGGTTCCGTAGCTTGTGCACGAGACGCTGACCTTCCGCAGACAATCCCCACTAAGTTTGGAATGATATAATGCGACTAATACATTCGAAATCTGGGGGCTGAGCATTGTGCACGGCAAGCTTGGCTCAAGCATCGTAGCTCATCAGAGTGTTCTCTGGGGCAGTGCGTGTATCAGGTTGCTGCATTGAACTATGGAAAGGCTGGCGACTACTATGTCGAATGTGGGATGTCAACTTTACCGCCCGAGTCTAGAATGCTGAACTTCAAACAAAGCGCCGGATCTTCGATTTAGTTGAGAATACAACTGAGAAAGTGTATCATGCGGCGTCAAGACATCACGCTAGACTATTCGCTGTAATCAGGCCTTCCGCGACCTGATCTCGTGGCGTGATGGAACACTCGAACGCACTTGAGTGCCTGCGTGAGAATTCGTCAGACTATCACCGTCTTCCCTAAGGGTTTCACTCACATGATTATCCCGTTCTCATCGACTGTCGCTACCTTGACATCGATCTCCCGACCGAGATCATCTTTAGCCTTCTTAACCCTGAAAACAGACAAAACCGATGCAACGACAACAAAAATGGTCGCGTCGACAAAATGCCGCCCAGGGCAGATACGCTTCCCTACGCCAAAAGCGAGGCTAAGCGCGGGGTCGTCACGCACAGTTCCATCTGCGTTGAGAAAGCGTTCAGGCATGAAGGTGTCGGGGTCCGGATAAACTTCTGGGTCATGCAGGATAGCCCTGACGATCTTTGAGGACATGATCAAAACAGATCCGGAAGTCAACGACGTACCAAGCATTGGCGATTATGATGGAACCTTGTTAAACGTCAGGGCATACTCGCAGCAGTGCAATTATTAGGTCAAACCTTTTGGGATGAAGAAACCCTTGTACACATCGTCTTCGCTCGACGCATGGGGAAGACCTAGATGCTGCGTTCATGCTTTTCGCTGAGTGATGCAAACGAGATACGCACCCATCGGCGTCACCATCTGCCACCTCATCACCTCCTTACATATGGCTTCAACGTATGGTAGGCGAGGCCTGTCGTCGAGAGTAGGCAATCGCTCCCTGCCGATGACTGCATTAAGTTCGGCTTGTGCCCGTGTCTGCACGTTGAGGTGAAGAGTCAGAGCGAGGAAGAACCACGTCAGCGCAGAAACAGTCTGCCACGATACATGTACGTGTCAAATGAAGAACACAAACGTAAACCAGATGGTCCGTGCGCACCGTATCGGAGCCAGCTAATCACAATCGTTTAGGTCGGACCTCAATGCTCTCGAGGTAAGAGAAAACACTTGCCGGCGAACATCGACCCAAAGGTACACTTGACAGATGCTTCCTGCTTCTGACGTTCTTCGGGGTCGAGTTGGTCTAGATCCCTCAAAGCTTCACTTGTCAGTGAGAGGACAGCCGTGCCGTCCCTCTATTGGGGTCTCATGAGCTAATGGCTGAGAACCCCGCCTGGTACAACATACCATGGCATTTTTTACGAAGTAAACGGGCTTGTTCAGCGTTCGCTGGCTCATGTCTCTTCCCTTTCGCGCCAACGGCTCATAGCTGAACCAAGGCACCCAGGATGGTATGTGCCGCACTGTGGGTTTCCATGAGCGTTGGACCTGTAGTCATGACAAACTGTCTTACAGAACGGCAGGGTATTCACGAGGACT